AGATAAAAGATCAATTAATGATCCAGTAGGTGTTTGCTTTGTTCTTCTAATATGCAACAAATTAAAAGTACAATAAAAATCAACTCCCCTAACCAGCAAATCAATATTAGACCAAACAGACTTCCAGTGCTTTTTTCTTTAACACTAAACTTTGTCAGCTAAGTCAAACACCTCTGTACAACACCATTAACTGATGAGTATTTTACACAGCTAAATAAGTCAATTTCCAAGGTTGGTATTCGTGTCCAATAAAATTAAATAAGCTTTCTATGCCAAGTGAGGAACAAATGTCAGGTCAACAGAAGACTGGTGCAATTTTACAGAAGTAAAAGTTTTTAATCTCATGAATACAAGAATCAAGTGCTGCTGACAGTTTTAAACCTTTACATACAGTATGATCACCAATGTTTTCTGTGCTTCTACTTTAGTTTACTAACTGTGAAAGAACAACTACTGCTAAAATACAGCACATTTATATAACTTAATTAGTCCATTAGGTTTACCTAACTGAAACAAACTCCTTCACTTATATTTGCCCCACAAAGCCCTGACAATGCCTAAGCACAGCATATATTTAACAGATTCCCTGGAGTAAAGAGGAAAGTTTTGGATGGGTAGGTTAGTTCTCTGTTTCCATTACCAGTCTGGATTCAGATGAAGAAAATCCTGAGCTCACCTCCCTAGCCCATATCCTGAAACAGTAATTTATAATTACGGATATAGAAATGTTTTAGAAAAGAGTAATTAAGAGCATAATCTCTTGGATGTCTTCACCACCTTGCATTTACTTTCATTTCTTTCTCTCACACCTGAGTTACTATTTCACTGACTGAAAAATAATTTACTCCAGATGATTTCTAGCTGTATAAATCAAAGAGAAACTGGAGCTTGGATTAATTTTGTTCATTCTACACAAAGCTCACACCTGTCTTCTTAGGTACTGAGAGTCAGTGTATACTTACAGATGCTATGAAAAAGTTCATAACCTTATTATCAACTTAACAATGTGCATTTAAATGTAAAACATACCAAGCATTTTCCCAATATTTCTTCTTATTTATGAGAATGCAAGTTTCTTCAATTTTACATCACGTTTAGATAGTTTCAGGATGTTCGTTCTACAAAAACGTATCTTTAGAATGTTTAATGCAATATATAGTTGAAAAGTACTCTAACTTCCTAGTATGATTCATTTTTCAAACCAAATGTTATCTTCCCATCCTGGCAGCCTTATGATTCCTTCTGTAGGACAAGTGTCCCTGAGTACTCGCTCTTTCACTGTGACATTCTCCTCAAAGCAGAAATAAAGGCCACCTCCTAATAACTAGGAGATCAAAAGACCATTTGATGTCTTCACATTACTGGGAATCATTCTGTGGTACAGACTGTCCTGGAAGAGGTGATTGGTGGGACAATCAAACACTCTCCTTGCTCTCCATCAAGAAAGGATTTCTGTCTACTTCACCTCTCACTATCCATTGCAGTATGCAGACAGCATGCCCTTTAACAATATCATGTTAAAGAATAAATGTCTTCAAGACAGAGTGAGTTTGAAGCCACACAAAGATGTCATGTTATCTTTCTAAATGGACACATAAGTTAATCAATGTATATTGCCCCAGTTGCTGCATTCTGAAGTTCACATCCTCAAAAGACTCTTGGAGTGATTACTGGCCCTTCTACCAGAGACTACAGCACTAGCCACTTAGGCCACAACTCCACATTTGTGCAGAGAAAACAAGTTACCTTCTCTGAGTATGATTCTAAGGCTCCTTCCACCTGTGTCTAACTGTTCTTTAAAGTTCTGTTCATTTTCTGAGGCCAAGTGCATCCAAGTGTTAGTAAAATGAACAAAGAAGCCAATGAAAATTCATTCTTGGAGACAAGGACAAATGGATTTGTCCAGCTTTTCACTCATATCTCAGTAGGTTACTTCATGGAAGGACTAAAACCAAATTAAATTCAGATTTGCCATAAAAACAAGTCAAATACAACAGGACAGTACAAAGTAAAGTTGCCATACCTCAAGACCTTCCAGATCAATTCCATCTTCTATATCTTTCAACAGTTCTATTAGCCTTTTCTTTTCTCCCCCAACCATAGCAATATGGTTTCCTGAATTCTTTGCTAACTGAAATATTTACAAGACAAACAAAAAATAGACTTTAGAACTCAACTAATTCAAACAGCACCAAAACAAAGTTTTTAATCTCCATGAAATAAGCATGCAAATCTTGTTTATTGCCATAGTACATTTTATCAAGTTGACAGAAAAATCTAGCACCCTACATACTTGATGATCTTGTAACAGTCTTTCATATTGCAGGGGGGCAGATGTTTTTCACTGCACTGTTTTTCATTTCACTGAAGTCACTATAGTTATTAGGCCTTCACAAAAAAAAGCATGAAAATCAAAGCATCTGTTTTCTGACAGAAATAATTCTTCTGTAAATAAGGGTACAATGCAGGCTATACATTAACAACCTGCATAGCTATTCCTTATCTATGCATAAAAACATCTTTCTTTAACTTAACAGTAAACACATTTAAACAAAGTCTTATTAAGTATTTGCCCTCAAAACAAGCTATGTCCAGGCATAAACAGAACAACTCCGTTTCCAATACTCTTTAGCAAATACATAGAAATAGCATCATTCCCCACCAATGAGCATCCAAGTTATACTTAATTAGCTTCTTGTGTCCCTCATAAAAACGCAACTGACTCCAGAAGTACTTATACGCTGGTTTTTTTACTTAACATTTAACCAAAAGTTAATGATTTTATGCTTTAATGCTTACCTCAATGTTCTTTTTAATGAAATCCTGATTGTTTTTACCTTTGCTATGCATTTTTTCTGCTTGATTAAGGAATTCTTTTGTTTCTAATTCACCTGGATAATCTGAAGTTTGAGGAAGAAAAGTTGCAAAGTTATGATTGTTCCTTTTCTGATTCAATGAGAGCTGCAATAACAGCAATCCCATTTAAATCTTCAACATACACACAAAGTGAATAGAAAAACTTTTCATATGCTGTTTTCATTATTTATATGAACTATATTGCTATATTCAAAACATAACTACTGTCAAAACCTAATCTCATTTTTAAGCTTTTATTATGTGAGATCATTCCATGTTGCAAAGGCTGCAAGACTTTTGAATTTCTGACCTCAAAAATGTTAAATATGGAGGCTTTAAAAACCACAGCATTCCTTTGAACCCTATCATTGGTTCAGTTTTATCATCAGTACAAAACCAGACCTTTTTTTTAAAACCACAGAACTGTTTGGAGACATATCAAGTACATTTTTTTTAAAAATAAAGCAGCTGAAGAACAGATGATATAGTTGGTATTATTATAACACAGCTTATAAAACAAATTTTGTTTAAAAATAAAACTTGTCATAGAGCTGAAAAGGTATTAAACAGCCACATTTTATTCTCACAATAACACGTCTATTTTTTCAACAATAGGTTTCTATCTATAATAGAAAAATGGGCACATACTCTATTTTTCAGATACTTTTACCAGTTTTAAAACAGCAATTCCTTTACCAACAATTTATCACATTAAATAACAAGTCTAACCAAATACAACCAACTTCTAAGTCTCCAAAACTACTTCAAAAGTAGGCATGGTACTTTTTCCTTTTCTAGAAAGTAAAGATTTGAAAAACAGACAGGCTATTTGCCTACCAAAAAAAAACCAACAACAACAAAAAAAAACCACCACAATTTAATGTGTTAGATAATAGAAAATAGATTATGGAAGTTTACATGAAATTAATTATTTTTCAGAGCAAGCAGATCAAAAGCAAACTCCCAAAGATATTAAATAAATTACATTAATCTTTTCACACAGTATGGACAAAATACTGTGCAACATTCTCACTTATCAGACTTACTCTCAAATTGCAACTAAACCTTAAATGACTGAGGTGTTGGATCTGACCAAGAACACCCTGTCACAGCTCAACCAAATGCACAACTGTTTCCTGAAAACATCCCAGACTATCTTTAACACTCCAGGTAACATCTTGAACTTATCAAGGAACCGAATCATAAGAACTTCACAATCAATATAAACATGACAAGTTATATCCTGAAATAAGCAAAACACACCAAACCTCAATATGCAACACAGATGAAATATTACTTTGAAAGTACACCCTTCTCTACCTAGAGAATCAGTGGTTTTGTGAGGGAGCTGTCATACAGGGTATGTCAGAATATTCAAGTAAAGAAGGAGCCCATGGGTATCACTAGGACACAGATTACACTGAAGATTGCCCAGGGTAAGTAAAAGAGAGACTGCAGCTCAACAAATTTTGCACGAGTTTCAGTAGATTTGGTACAAATTTCAAGAATTTACTACCAATCTTGATGAGATTCTTAAAGTAATATCATTAAACTCATACATACATTCTTCTTCACAAATTAAGCTCTTTCTGTTCAGGCTATGCCTTTACGACAACCGTTACCCAGAAACCCAAAAGCAACCAAAACGCTAATTCTTAGCTATTCAGAAACCATAACAAAGCCTCCAGCAGAAATAGGAAAAGTGATTTAAGGAATTTATTGCTTATTAGTTTTAAGTTATCTCAATTGTAGACATTCCCAAAGTGGCATAAGATAGAACATCTCAAAACAGTGCAAGTAACAGCAACTCCCAACCATGCCTGTACTGGGAACTTCAAAAGTCATTGCTGTCCTGAATACTGATAATGAAACCTACCACTGCTACTCAAGAACACTCCAGCACAACTTGGAAATGGTGAAGGTGGAAGCTGAGTGACAAACTTCCTTTTAAGGGAGGAACAAAGACACATGGTAGGAAGACAGAGAAATCACAAACACAGTATTCCTCCACCCCAGTGTGAAGAAACATTTAATAACACAAAGTTAAGGTCACATACTGATGGACTAAGACAAGTGATAAAATAAGTGAGCTGAGGTGCAGGTTTAAAAATGAAAACATGCTGCCATATTCTAAAAAGTGCAGAAATTCTCCTGTCATCAATGGCTCAGCCTCGAGAACCACAACACTTATTATGTCCTTGTCATCTTAACCAGTCACCAGGAAGATAGATTCATTCTGTTTACATAGAATGGTAGATGACAAAGAAATAAAAAATTGCAGCTGATTGCAGTGGCAGCTGAAGTTATTCTTATGTCACAACACATGTGAAGTTATTCAACTATACAAATTTGAATTTCAAATAGGGAAA